AGGTGCTCAAAACCTCTCGAAAGTTTAAGCTCCTGCACTCAGGTCACATAGAGCTGAGAACTCATGGCACGCTGCAGGATCAGGACTTAGTCTTGGTTAGAAAACTAACCTAAGACTACACCTGTGAGGCTGTGACCCAGAAGCATCCCTAAAGATGTTAGATATTTGAGCTGGGATGGCAAGGACAAGGAGGAGGAAAAGAAGCAGAAGATAGACTTTGGATGCAGTAAGGAAAAGCACCCCATTTTAGCATGTTAGCCTATGAGCTGAGACATAGAGCTCTACCACTGGGAGTCAAATCTGATTAGGACTGGTTTTGCTTTCAAACTGCCCCTTCTTTTCTGCTCATTACCAGCTGTTTTAACCTAAGTGGTGGAGATCACATCTCCTAAGAGAAGAGTTCATGCAGTGCAAAGTAGAGGGACGCGGGAGAGCTGAGACTTATTTGAAAACACGTGAAAACTATTTATGGACTGTATTGAGAGATCTGTGATACAGAGTGGGTGATAGGCCTGTCATGATGACTGTGGAAATTAAAAGTGGTCTGTCCTGAGGTTACACATTACAAAGAGAGCTGATTTTGATGTTTGCCTAAATCTTTTCAGAGAACCTGGCTAACCAGCAGATGAACTGGTCAACTGGTGAAACAGTGAGGGAGAGGAAGTATAAAATCAAGCAGCAGAGGATAGGCTGAGGACAGTAACTTCCTACTTTGGTTTTGCCTTAAGCAAAGTACATGGTTACCTATGCCCTGAGATGTTTCTGAAGTCCACATTGCTGCAATGGCCAAAGACCCATCGTCTTTAAACTCAGAACATCTTTATGAAGGAGGCACACGGCTTGTAGGAGTGGGACATTTTCAACGGCACACATACATACATGGCTGCTGGGATATGACACATTAATAAACATCATCTTATCAACTCCAGAAGCTCCCTAGCTCCCGCCTATCAACTCCAGAAGCTAGATCCCTGGCTCCCGCCATCCACCATGAGGAAAAGTTCTTGACAACAACCACCACAGCAAAACTTCACAACCCTACATTAAACTAGCAGCGTTCTAGTTTAAAAACAACTTACTTATTTCCCATTCTCCCCATATATTTTTTTTAAATGTTGCTAGGAATTGCAGCTACAAAGTAAAACCTTAATACAAAGTCCTTATTCTGTCTCAGTTTCAATTTATTTGGAGTAAAGGACAAATACTGGAAGAACAAGTTGAAAGGGAAGAAAACAAAATGGAATTTTCTTTTATCTAAAGTCCCTTTTAAAGCAGTACCTTGTTTAGAGAACAAACATTGCTTTGAAGGTTCAGCTGACTGTTGGAAAGGTAAGATGGGAGATAAGTGGACTACCTCACAGAACAAGACACACAAAAAGAAGCCACACTCAGATACCTTGTCCTTCAATGTAATATAAGAGAGAATGCAACCACTTTTTTAAAAATAGCTACCTGTATTGCATTAGCTATTGCATGTGAAAGGCTCTTGAAGACAGAAAAATGGTAGCAAACACTGCAGCTCTAGATGAAGCCAGTGGTATTTAAGTTGTGAGCAAAAGGAATGGTTTCAAGTCAACTTTTATACACTTGCCAGCCTTTAGCTAAGGGAATGAGGTAACACTAAGGTAAGCAAAACAGTGCAGCATCAGTGTTTCCTGCTTGAGCTGCACATCCTCTGCACTGTCACTGCATGGTTACCGCAGAATACACGAATTAAGCGGCATCTTAGCTGTAAAAGAACTAGTTTGTGAGCCCCCTAGTGGCTCTCAGTAGCTCTTCTGCATTGCAGAAGTCCCCAGAGTGCATCCAGAGCATTGCATAGAGCTGGCAAGGCCTGCTACGTGAATTTAGTAAACGTTATTTGGAGTGGCAATGCTCTTGTGCTACATATATTGTACAGAGGGTAAAAGAAAAACTCTCCAATATCAAAAAAGAGGTAGTATCTAGCCTCATGGCTGAAGTGGGTTTTGCACAAAGCTTTGCGCACAGGCCTCTGACCACAAAACCTTAGGTCTGTCTGACTTACTGTCCGAGTGGAAGAAGGCGGAAGCGCCTCAGTTTAATATCATTGCTTCTCGACCTTCACAAAACACGCAGCCAAAAGCCTTTCATGCTCTCATCCCTTCTTGTCCTGAGGCTGCCAGTGCATCCCAGCTCAGAATTATATTGACTGCAAGACGAAAATTCAATCTCTCCCATCCCAGATCTTCCCACTCCTTTCAAGTGTCTTCCTAAGTTCTGTCTTCTCAGCTGCCGACCTTTCCCTGTCTCCTAATCCTGGCCTAAATTCTCCGTTCAGAAGCCAGTTCCCTGCTGCTCTGTTCTTCCTGCTCTGCTGGCCCAGATAGTGCTGCTCCCACTCCCACACAAAAACTGTGGCTCCCGCTTTCCAGAGATTGAAAACCACAGACACAAGCTGCTCTTACCAAAAATCTATCTGGGCAAGACTCCGAAAGCAGAAAAAGAGAATGAGTCCTGGAAAAATGTGTGTAGTAGCCTTAGCAGAAGCATATTTCAGCAAGTTGTTATGGTAAGCTATTGGTATTACTGTCTCTTTAAAATGGAATTAGAAGGTGCCTGCAAGGATTCTGCATCCTTCATGCGTCCTGCATAAGGACTGGTGTCAGGAGAACACGGGAACTATGTCATTTTTCTTGGAATAAATATTCTCTCCCTCTCTCTCTCTCTCTCTTTCTTTTTTAAGGTATACATACATTTGGTGCTGTGGGTGAGTATACACTTAAAATAACATATTTTGCTACCGTAGTGTTTTTCATTCATATAACTCTTTAAGAGGAAAAAACAGATGCAGGAAGGCACAAAGCCATTTAGCAGTGTAGCTTTTCAGTTACATTATACATTTGATAGTCATGCAAAAGGCAGTAGTTTTCAAATATTCCAGCCCAAGAAAGCATAACTTTTCACAGTTCCTTTTCATCAACTTCTCTAACTGAAAACATTACAAAGGCAATATAGCTTTGTGGACCAGCCATAATTCTGCAATGGGTCTACAGCCAATCACATCACAACTTGTGTTCTGGTCCTGGCACTGCCACACATTTCACAAGCAACCTTTCCAGACGCTTTCATTACGTCTTATTTTCCCCACTGGTAAAATAAATACAGATCGTATCAGCTGCTTCTCCCAGGACTGCTGGGATGACTGGTGCTGCGTTGATGGAGAAATCTGGATGGACGTGACTAGACATGCACAAAGCGTCATTATTATATTTTACCACCAAATAGGCCCCTGTAGGTCAGGGTTAGACCTTAGCAGACTTTAAGGAAAGCAGATTGGGAAATAAAAAATAGCCAAAGACTAAAGGACAGAGAGTGATAAGCATCTCTTGTTGAAACAGGGGACTGAGAAAAAAATATCTTAGTTTAACAAACAAAGCAAATAGGCAGACCTATCTACAAAAGCAGCAGCAAACCAAAACAAGCTTGAATAGCCCTCATAAAACGCAGTAAAAACTGTTCTGCCTTTAGCTACTGCCTTGTCTTTCCTGGAGCTGGGTAACGAGGCATAATTTGGCACAACGTTTTAAAAAACAGAATGCTTCAGCCACTAAACAACGTTCATTTTTTCTTTCGTTTAGGACAGACTTTCAAGTCATCATTCCCTTGTCTAGTTGGCAGCTTTGTAGCATTTAGTATTTGGAAAGAAAGATTTTTCCACTAGAGAAGTTAAAAAGCAGTGCTGCCTCGTTTCTCCTAACAGATATCTATTTTCCTAGTGGATGAATCATGCCATTTAACTGAAGGCTAAGAACAGAGCCTTTAAAACCCCCCCAGAGAATCTGCTATTTTTCTTGTGCTTACTAGTATCCACTTGTGAATCTGGTTGCTAGTTTCCTAGTAAGAGCAATGGTCTGCTTTTCATTCTGCAGTTATTTGAGTCCTAAGAGGAAAAACATTCTGCTGTTCATCCTTGCTGCTTCCATTGATTTGCTTGTGCTGTTATTACAGTCTATATCAGCTCAATTAAAGATGGCCACTTAGTAGAAAATATTGCAAGAGTACCACAGTATTCAAGCACAAGAACCATTACAGCTGAGCATGATTATAAAAAATGCTTAGACTTGTCCACTTTACATGGAGAATAATAGTTATTTTGTTATGTGATGGAAGTTACTCTACATTTTATTTTCCTTATAAATTATGGCTAACAACTATATAAAGTCTGGGGACATTCTCGACCAGGAACCAGTAGTAAACAGAGAAAATAGTGTCCCTAGAGATCAATGTCATGGTTGTACTGAGGTCAGTGCCAGGGGAGAAAGATAAATTTCATTGCTGGCCTGAAGATCATCCTTGAAGCTTTATATCATTTAAATCTCACTTAAACCCTCTTTGAGAATTAAATTGAATTTAAGTGGGCAATTGACCCTGTTCTGGCACAGGAAAGAATTTCTCTTGAAGAGTCTGGCTGGTTTTGTATGGATATCTGTGCATTACAGATATGATTTATGAACCTGATTTAGTTGTTCTCATTATCACATTATATCTACATACTCCCACTTACCTAAGACTGAGTGGTGATGAGATAACTTCCTGAGCGCTATAAGCAGTTTCAGACATGCATGTAACCCTAATTATCTCACTTTCTGAACTGGGAAGAAAAGAGGGGAGGGAATAAAAGAGATTAACTGTTAAATTCTTTTTAAATAGAAGCACTGTTTTTGAGTTGCTTTTGTTTTACACACAGCAACAGATTTCCTGCTATGATAAACTAGTAGGCTGAGAAACCAAAGTACTCACACTGGGATCAGACAGTTACCTTGCAACACACCTGGTCAGTGAAATGGCTTAATTATTTATCATCCAGAGACAGAAGTGAAAGATTGATGAGCAATTTTATTGCAGCAATTTGACAACAGATTTAGGAGAATCAAAGAAGTTTGGAGCTTCATGAAACTTTTCACGGAATGAAATGCAACATTTCTGGGAAATGTGTCCCCCCCCCCCCCCCCCCCATGAAATAAGATCTGTGCTTCAAAGTTGCTGAAAATCTAGTGACATAGCTTTATTGCCTTTTAAAATCTCAGAAGGCCATAATAAGGTGCAAGTTCTGAGAGTCCATATTCTCCTTCCTCTCACAATCACATTGTTTACAAAGACAGACTTAGCCTCTGAGGCTCATTCTGGTCCAGGGGGTAGTCTGAGGTTAACGGCTTGAAAAATCTTTGATGCCTCTTTTTCAGTAAAATAGATTTTTAAGTAACAGTTTCATTTTTCAAGATGAAATGGAAGATATAGAGCTTCTCAATGTGATGTAAAAGTAATAAAACTAGTAAGAGGGGCGGTTTGCTGATCAAACTTGCTGATCAAACCTACTAAGAATGGAATCAGGAATATACCACTAAATCAGCATGAATAAGATAATCCAGTTTATTGTTTCCCTTTTTTTTCCCCCCACTTATTTTTTGCTAAATTGTATGAGACCTATTGTCTCATCCTGGGTAACCGATACTAACTAGAAATGCTTTCCAAGGTACCCTTGGAGAGGGATTCAGGTTCAGCTCTCACGCCTGGATCTCAGCTTTGCTCTTGCCACACAGAAAGCCCAGGGAACACAGAGGGAGTAGAGCCAACTCTTTCTTCCCCCTTGCTGTATAGTTTGAGCTATGGCTTGGCCTTGGGACCTACAACAACAGGTATCAGCCTGAAGGCAACTGGCAGCCAGCAAACCTAGACTAATACACAATCCCCCTTTTGCTCTGCATTCCAGCCAGGAGCAGTATCTGCTGGCTTTGTGTCTTTTCAGCCTGCTTAACTCTTAAACACCCGCTCCCTTACTATTGCAAGTGGAAGAGAGCCTCACAGCCTCAGTAATTGCGCTGGTTCTATCCAATATGACAACTAAACCACCCTTCTGAAAGCCACATAAATACTTCAGGAACCTCTGCATTAGTGGATTATGCACATGCTGAATTAGAGTGGAGCATAGCAACGAGTTATTTGTCACCAAGTACAGCTAGGAATATACTATCACATATCCAGAATGCACTTGACTATCATAGCTTTCCTTTAAGCTCCAAGAGAGCAAATGCTTTTAACATAGCTTCTGGTGTCCTCCGAGCTCATATATTGTGCTTTGGCATACGATGATTAGATAAGCAATGTTCTAGGATAGGATTGAAAATAAATATCTCAAACTGATAGTCTTCTCTCAAAGGACAAGTGTGTCTACTCTTTTCAAAACAAAGCTGCTAATGAGATTACAAACTGTGGCTCAATTTGTGAGTAAGGAACATTCTACCAGGATTCACAAATTTGAGTTCATCCAGCCAGTAATTTTCAGGCTATTCCAAAGTTAAAGTGCAACAGAACACAAATGCTGCTTACACACTGGTGTTGTCTTTCCTTTTTCCATATGTGGGATACCTCTGCTTTGATATCGGCACATAATCTCTTTTTAACACCACATGCAGTAAAACCCTCCACACACACAACTCAAATTCTTGTGCGACCTTAAATATATAATCATTTAGATTTCTGAAGTGGTATCTGGTTTGAAAGAAACTGTTCTCTTGGAAGAGCGTGGCAAAATATCAACTTCAAGTCTAATTTGAGATACTATGCCAATACTATGCTGGCCATAAGTGTTAATTAAGGGTATTAGCAGCACTTTTTATAACCAGGGACTAGCTGCAGCACTGAACATGGAACCAGGGAGCAACGCGCACACATTTCAGTGCTTACAAGAAAGTCAGGACTGGGGCACAAAAATACAATCAAGATCTCAACTCATTCACTTTGCTTACACTTTCAGGCTTTGTTCTCTCCACCATAAAAGACTACATGTGATAGTAACTTCAGAAGGTTGTAGGAAAAGTTACTCAGACATATATCATTGAGTTTTGCTTTGGCGTAACCAACAATGAAACAGATGCATGCTTCTAGAGTACAATTACTATATTGGGTCAAAACAAGCAGGCGTTGGCAGTGCATCAGCATACTTGGCAGCTCTAGAAGCACCTTTCAAACCATCTCAGTCTTCAGAGAGAGCACTCTTCCTGTTATTACACACTACACAGGGAGAAACTGGGAGTTACCTGCAAAATGAAAGAGATTAGGGGCTGTAAAGTATTGTTTTGAGGCTCAGAAAATTGTTTTTAATCTCAAAGTAAGAGGTAAACATAACCAGTAGATAGCTGCATATATGAAACATGACTTTAAAATGTTCTTGTTTATGTCTAAGCAGGCTCAACTTCTTGTCAAGGAAAGCTTGGATCTCAACCAGTCCTGTTAGACACGTGAGCGAATCTCAAAGCCAAACTAGAAATACTACCAAAAAAAATCTCACTCAAAAGCCTCATTCTGAGGCAAAGTTACACCTACTTCCTTAAAATCATCTCCTTGAAAAACAATTTGTTCTAAGTGTAGTAATATTAGAAACCGTTCAGGAACTGGAATTGTGCACTCATACCATACCCAGAAAAACACTCATCTCCAAAAAAATGTTTTCTTCGATGTCTGGCGTGCACACTTAGAATTATTAGTATGTGAAGGGGAAGGGAGGTTCAGCTACTGCCTAGGCAAAACAGTTGTTTACCATTCTAAGAAGCTATTCATTTATCAACTGCTTATAAATCACAGCAGGCACAGTTACATTATGAGCATAACGTAAAAGACTTCTCAGGCAACATTTTTATCTATTCAAAACCTGCCTGTGCAGTCTTGTTTATCTAATTGAATTGTCAGGGCTCACATCTAGATTCCCAGCGTTACAGGAGCCTGAGAACACTCCTGTGCTAAATTATATCAACTTTTATTTACCCAGGAGTGTACTGCTGTGCTCAAATTCAGATCTGTTGGATAGAAACAGCATTCCCCTTAGTAACTTCTGCAGTTCGCATTGACAGCATTTCTTAACATCAGAGTCAAGAATTGCATTGAACCTGATTTAGGGAGATTTAAACAAAATGGAGAAGGTAGAAGGTTTAAATCCATCTCTATTACAGATTGGCTCATGTATTTGTCCATGTTCATCGGAACTGACAGAAGAGAATTTAGGGTTGCCTATTCGTTAATACTGCATATACATAGGACATGAAAGTGCTAGAGGTGACTCTTCTCAGTACCTGGTCTTCACAAATAACTCAATCACACGAAAAGCAAAGTCAGCTTGTGCACAGGTTGGAAATGGCATGGAAAGCAAAAGGTTGTTATATATGTTATCAACTGTACCTTTTTTCAAAAGGTTACTTCTTCGCAGTCTACTCTTTCCTGTAGTTGCACAAAGTTACTATTATTTCTTCTTGTATTTACTGTCAACTAAATGCTAAATGAAAGATTAAACTTGTATTGAAAATGCATATGCAAGAAATCATTATAGCATTTGAAGAAACTTCCAAGGGGGCACTACCCACTTTAGATCTTTGTCCTACAGATAAAACCTCATAATTATACACTTTTTAGCTTATGATTAAACAATTGTTAATTTATATTTTCTACTCCCAGAGGAAGCCTAAGATTTTTGATAAACATCACTGTTTTCTGCCTAGGTATATCTCATGCTCCTATCACATCCTAGCATAATAGGTATAGTTTTCTTCCCAGAGCTCTCCAAGGAGTCTTCTAGATAACAGACCCAAAGACTAAAATGTGAGCTTGAAAATTCTTTCACGGCAAGTCATCCAAAAATTGTAACACACATGCATCTATTTTAATGTTTCTGGGACATCATCTCTAAGTAATGCTATTAACTTTGTGTGACATAACCCTGTAGAAACTAGAAGAAAAATAGGACAAAGTTTACTGGCTTGGTCTTTAGTGTTTTTAATGCATTCCATATCTTATTGAACTACACAGAATGCATATGTAACTGAGCTGTTCTATACTATTTAATGTACATTTTACAACTGTGCTCGGTAAAAGGAACAGCCACAATTTACATTTTACACAGGTGACATGGTGTGAATTGGAAACGGACATTGTATTAAGTACCCAAGGTAACTGACCTCACTCACATAAGTAATGATTTTTGACATTCGATTCCAAAACCTAGATCTAGAGGAATAGAAGATGTAACTATGAACCACAGGAATTCTCTCTATTGGCAAAAAAAGGACATACAGCAAGGACAAAGCAGCAGACATATTGCAGCTCTAGGTAAAGTATCATCTCTCAGAACCAAAAAACTTCTCATGCTTACTCAGAACATGCGAACCTCACCTTGGACATAAAATCTCAAAGGAAACTGACTTTAGTCAAATTTATATGGTAGTATTAATGCACCCTTTGCAACAAATTTTTGGTTTTTTTTCAGAGCAAGCCCATTCAGGCTGCTGAAGGTTTTACTGGCTAGATCCAATGACAGACTAACTAGACTATTGTGTTAACAGCTAAACAATATTTGATTTTAGGACAATTAAGCGTGATCTGAAACTGTAACTAGATCAATTATCTGCTTTTTACCCCATAATGCACAAAAAATTGAACTTGGCCTTTTCCATCTGGTACACTATTGCTATTTTATCCCTAAATTGATAATGGCCAATTCTTAGAATATCCATGAACTTTATTCATGGGCACACTTAGCCTTTAGCTGGGGATCATAAAGAAAGTAGTGATCCGTTGTCTTCAGGAAGGCACAACATATGCCACTACTTCTGACTAAATGCAGGTTTTAGACCAGCTGAGAAAGTGTCTGGTTTGTGTTCTTCCACAGGCCAGCCAGCAGTAGGGCAAGAGAGACAAACCACATACGGGCAGTGGAATCCAAGCACGTCCTTTGCAGTGAAGTGATGTCAGATTTAGACTGGCCTAAAAATCCAGTCATTCTAACTCCTTCAGTTTCTGTCTTGAAGGTCTCTGTATAGACAACTGTCCATAGACAATAGCATTTTATACCTATTTGGTTTTTTTTAAAAAAAAATCAATGTCTGACATAATTAACAACTTTATTTGCAATAATGACACTGCAAGAAAAAAGTGGGTCAGAAATAGGAATTCTTGTGCAGCACAGTTGACTTGCTAATTAGAAGACAGATATACACAAATTATACCCCAGAGGAAGCAAAGAGTTTGGCATCTGCAACAGAGAAATATTCCTATGGTAAAGGATCATTATTCAGTAGGGAGATAGCTTTGGTGATTAATGCTGAAAGACTCGTTGTGACCCTAGCTGAGAAAGGATCAAAACCCAGAAGAATTAAAAATGAATCCAGGTCTACAACTTTAAGAGAGAACATACTTCGGGGTTTGTGTTTTAGATACCTGTAACGAAATGAATTATGCTCAAAATTTTGCATCTTAAGCATATAGCACCATTTTGCCTTTTAAAATTTATTACCGCTAAGCAATCTTGCCCTTAAAAATTCTACTATTATAAGCATATTACTTATTTGAAAATATTGAATGGGAACAGAACTATTGAAGTTTCACAACAGTAGCTCTTCAGGAAGAAGAAAGAACACTTAGTAGGGAGCAGTGCAATACATGAAGGGGGATTACAGAAATAAAAAATGAGCTGAATATACCAGGAAAAGATGTTGGGTTCACTTACTAATGAAATAAGCAGTATCACCGCAAGTCTGCCACCATACTTTGTCTCTTCCCAAACAATATGCTCAGGGGTCACAGGAGAGCCTGCAGCGTTCATCTGAACATAAAAGCTAGTCATCTTCCTCAAAAAAAACAAAAAACACACTATGAATCAATTCAAAACACGAACAGATAATCCCTACCATTTCTCTTAGCAAAATACTTTCCTATGAACCTATAATAGCTCAACACTGTAGGTTCTTAAGCCATCTTAAGATACATTGTTCCGTAAGTCATTTGCTAATAATGGGCAGTATCTTACCCAATGGAGTAAGAACAGATATTGTTCCTCTTAAGGTTAGATTCTTAACACTTACAAAGGAATTAACCAAAAACCAACTATCAAAGCCACTATGCTACCATCTATTGTTACATAGGAAAAATGTTCTTTCCCTGCTCTTCCCCCATGGAAAAGGGCTAGGTCCCCACTAATATTTCCAAGGTAACTGTAATAGAAGGAAGAGATGGTAGAAAGCTGCTAGAGAATAAGGCATATTTAACACTTTGGCTTTAAGGAAGTTAAAGGGCCAATAATTCCATGAATTCAAGTATTAATATGTAAATAAGTCTGGTTCCCAGTAGACACTGGTTCAAAGAACTAACAAACCTTACTTCTACCGTTGCCCCATTGAGATCTGCTCCTCCAACTTCACATGCACAAGGTGCTACTAACAAGCAAATATTTTTTACTACTCTATACCTCCTGTATGTCAAATAGGCATTAATTTAGCACTCGCAAGGAAAATAAGTATTTTGAGATTCCAAACACTGACATGCAAAAATAAGAGCCCTAGGCAGGAGTTAAAACAGATACTCTGTATAATATATAGCTTTACTTCATCATTACAAAAGTCCTGGCTTAATTTGAACCTGTGTTATTGAATCGGTGTGTTTTAACCTATTGAAGGATCTAACTCCATTTCAGATTTAAAATACCAAGTTCTTCCATTTACACACAACCAGCCTATCTTAGCTTAAAGAATGCCTGACATCTAGTATTAGGTCTCAGTAGGCACTTCCACCAGTGTGAAGTATTCTGCATTCAGGTAACTATTTGTATAATCTTTTGGAAGCACTTTACTATTCTTTTCTCATCTTACAGTTGAGCTGTTTGAAAAACATTTGCCATCAGCTGATCCCAGAAGAACAAGCGGTGCCTGCATATCACTTCCACAGAAAATTCACTAGGGAGCTTAGTATTTGTTAAGAGGTGCACCTAGAGAACTGTTTATACAGTTAGACAATGAAAATTAAAAGTTGTCTGCAGTATCCCCAAATTTAATTTTAAGAACAGCTATGAGACACTAACTTGCAACTCTGCTGATCATTTCAGAGATCTAATACTGTCCATTTTCAATTCAGTTTACTTGGTTTTTTGCTTGTTTTAGAGGAGTACATGACCTCTTATATATTTCTATTCCCCAGACACATCGGGGGAAAATTTTTCCCTTAAAAAAGAGTACCACTTAATAATCCAGTTGTGTTAAAGTTATCCACACACTCATCTCAGGCCATTCTTTCTATACAATAGTTTCTTCATGTTCAGAGTTGAAAATGAATGCACTGGAATGTACATATATTCTGTCTAAGATCAGACCCTGGGAGCTGAGTAAAACTAGTCTTAGGGATAACAAAAACTTCCAATATATGTAAAGCATATTATATAGATTAAGTCACATAACATGGAAGTGCAAACCAATGAATAAACAACAAGTAAGCAGACCTCATGAGCAAATTGCTAATACAATGATGAACAGACCCCAGAGTAAGGATAAAAAGAAAACAAACAATCAGCATCCTGGTAAAGAAATCCCCATGATGAACGTCTGCCTCCCAGCCAAGAACTCAGGAGGCTAATGACTCACCATAAACCCCCTTTTCTTCTTAGCCCACCAACTGCATGAATGTTTGGCCTGGGCCCTCCATCATGAACACTGGCTGTCAAATCTGGATGCAACAACTGGGGGAGGAAGTGCTCAAATTAGACTAATTTAGTTGCATCATCATGCCCATTCATCTCAGATAGACGGTATTTTGTGATATTTCTGTTCCCACATACTTTGGCAAAGGGACAAGATGGAACATACTTTCTCCTCTTACATGCTGATATTCTTTGACTCGACATTAACTTGGGATATAACAACTCCCCTTACAGAACCATACTCAGAACTCCACATAAACCAAAACAAAAACAAAGTAGTATTTATTCAGTACTGACAATTCAACTAACATGACCCATTTAAAAATCATGCCATTTTCAGTCTAGATGAAGGCAGGCAGAAGACAGACATTAAACACATACTTCATAAACATTTAAAGCAAATAATTTATTTTTCTTGATTAAATGTGCTAATCACCAGAAAAATTGTGATAAAGAAAAATAGGTTTGTATGTATACATAGTTTTAACTGTACAGATCTGCAAAAATCAGATATTTGCATAGATTTCAGAGCTCCACTGTTATTGTCTAAAAAAGGTTTTCCTCCAGTATTATCAGAAATGCTTTGGTTCATACTGAACATAATAAAACAATACAAATAAAACAGTAATTATTTCTTTTTCTGACTTACTGGAATATCTAATCTTCAAGTTGAACTGGAACAAAATTTGTTTACAAGTAAAGACAAATAACACAGCCTTACCAGTTTTGTTTTGAACAAGGCAACACTCTCAAGAGCCCTACAAAATTTTCCATGATGCCTTGTCTTGCTTCTATCTGCAAAGTTTTGTTTAGCTAGAAAAATTCTGAAAGATATCTGCACCCTCAAGCCAGTTTCGGAAACAGGATAGCCCTTTGTCTCTGATTTGTTTTCTTCCTTTGTCAGTAATGACTTCTCCGGTTTGTTTCACAATCACCAGTTTAGGAATGGCTGTTATGTTGTATTTCTTCTTCAGATCACTGGGGGAGAAAAAATAAAATACACCATTAGGGAGCATCTTAGGAAACCTTTTAGCCTCTCATGAAGTAAATTCTGGTCAGTATGCATGGGAGAGCAGAAGTGATGGGTGTCTGGGCTTCCCAAGAGCTTGGAGCACAGAACTGGTCAACACAGGGGGATGGATGAGGCTGCAATAGCAGTTGTCCAGCTTCCTTCCTGGAACCAGAAGTTTACACAGTGCAACTTAAGCAGCTCAGGGAGCAATGAGAGTCGCAGCAGCCTTCCTGCAACTGCTCCTCGCTGCAGTCGCAGCAGCCTTCCTGCAACTGCTCCTCGCTGCAGTCTGTAGTTTCCACAGGAGGGGAGACTGACTCTTGGGGTCTATGAAGAGGCTCATGTAACAGAAGGGCAACACTCACTCCCACCTTGTGTTTACTGGCAAGAACTGGATGCCTTCAGGTCCCTTCTACTGGATAGGGAGGCAACAAAGGAGAAGGATCTCACTTAAACCAGCTTTAGATATTTTCCCTCAGAGTTATTTAAGTGTGGCCAATTCCACATAGCCATTTTTTGAAATCCTCATTAAAGCATGGCATATAATTCTCTATTGTAAGCAGAAGAGGTTATAATTATAGAAACACCTTAAATTCCTTGAGTGAGATAAATTTTTTTTTCCTATAGAAAGCCTAAGCAATACAAAGATTTGGAAAAAGAACCACAAAGATTTAGAATTAGGAGCAAACATCTAAAGTATCCAGGAAAAAATTTCAATTCCTCCTCCTCCAGACACAAACATTTCTAGTGCTCATTTCTCTATGTCAGGAGATAGAAAAATCCAGATAGTCTTTAAGTCTGAGCTATTTGCAATCTATTGTTTTTTGAGAAACTAGTTAAAAACATTTAAAAGCTATACAAACAGCAGTGTTCCATGAGAGAAATCAGGATCTGTTCAAAAACTGATGAGGAGGGAACCTAGGAAAAATTAATCGGGAAAGATTTCTCATACTGAAAGGCAGGAATTAAATCAGGTCAAATTAATGATATATGGAAATTAACATATGGAATGTTAATACTGGAAGTAAAATTAACATTAGAGGAGAAAAAACCCAGTGCAAACAAAAGATCCAAAGAGAAACAAAAACACTTGCTGATACTGGCACACGATAAATTAGAAGGCCGGACTACTCATTACACGCCACAGAGAAGAAAGTACACCAATGGCAGGCTATCAGCCACATGAAGTAGTAAAACAGAATTCATTGTTTACATACATGAGTTGAAAGAGAGGAGCAGCAGGCAAACAAAAGGACTATGCAGCAACAGAAAAGATATCATGGAACACCACATAGCAAACCATTTGTTGCCTGTGTCATGCTCAACTGAAAAGTACAAGAGAAAAAACTTTTCCAAGGAAAACAGTTTATCAACGATGACAGATTTTGTCCTGTAATGAGCAAACAAAATAAAAAGGAGGAAAGAATATGGCATCTACATCTATTTTCATAGATCCTGAATAAACAGGCATAGAATTCTGAACTGAAAGTGGAGCACAAATAAGTATCTTTATTGAGAAAGAAAACCAGAAAGTCTTCCACACAAGAAATTCACTTAGAGTGCTGTGGATGGGATACGCAAAGCATAAGTTTTGTCTACTTGAAAATAGTAATTTACCATGTAGGTGACAAAGTAAGATTTAGGAAACAAGCAAGCCAGCAAAATCAATATTGTGACTAAGACTCAAAAAACCATGAGCATTGACAACCACCTACTGGCAAGAACTTTAAATTTCTTCCGCTATGGCTTAAGAAGTCTTGAGTTTACTGCCATCACAGCACAAAGCTCTGACGCCAAATAAAGAGCAGAGTTCTCGGTTCAGAGTGCTCCTCAACAGGAAGAGCCCCAGGTGTTTCCTGGAACTCCAGAACCAGTTCACAGCACTCCCACTCCAAATCAGAAAGAAAAGCAGAGGAGGAATGCCTGAAGTCTGCCTTTCAGGACTTCACAAAAAAAGTTAAGCTCCTTCCAAATGTATGGCAATAGCAAAAATATTAATTTTCACTAATACCAAAGAAAGGAAATCATGTGTTGGATATGAAGAAACAGGTAGAAAAGTCAGTTTAGAATGTTGATCACAAGAGTCAGAACTGCCCTAGGGTATTTCCCCACCCCTTTTCAAGCTAAGGGACAACACAGCAACACTACTGTATGCCTATCACAAGGTATATTCCTAGGTCATCCTCCACATGTGGATTCATTGAACTAGATGTTCAAATCAGAGACCAGTGAATTAAAATGAATTTGTAATGTTCATTTGGAAGGTAACATTCAAGAGAATATCTTCCAGCATATCATCTTCACAAGAGATAGTCCAGAAATTTAGTGGTAGGAGTGAAAGCTACTGTCACAGACATCCTAATATCTAACAGCAAAACTGAAGAACAAAAAATCCATTCCTCAGCTGCAAGTAGTGCAGCCTATCAAGGAATCCTACAAAGAGTGCCATCCTCATAGAGGAAGATGTCTTGTCTTTCAGAAGAGGTATCAGAAAGAAGTGTGGCTGACATATTGCAGTTCACTTAAAGTACTCTCTCAAGAGATGTAGTCCATCATGAAAAACGACCTTACACTGGCTTACATCAAAACAAGCAGAAATCAAGCACCTTTAGAAGACTCAGAAGAGAAACACCACAATAAGGGGAGCGCCATCCTCCAAAATATGAGGGATATTCTCAAAAAAAATGTAAACGCTAAATAGAAATGGCATGCCTGAGCACCATAGCTACATGCAAGAACTTCTGCTGTATAGGGCCCAAGTACCATACAGTTTTGATTAACTAGAAAAAATATTCATAGCCATTGTGGAAAAATATCAGAAATTGGTACGTGCACAGCTATTCTATGTTCTCCTTGAAAACAGGAGGAGTTAAAACATCACATCTTTAGAACTAAATAAAGCTCAATATGAGTGTTAAAAAAACACAAGAGGTAAAACTTAAGTGAAGTATAGACCGGGGGAAATATTCCCAAAACAGATCTTCTCTTACAGAAAGATACAAAAGGAAAGAAAAAAACACAACAGGTGAAGGATACCAAAACGTGTCAGTAAGCTGATAGAGCAACACCACAAAATATTTCAAAAGAAACTATATAGTGTAGCCTAGCAACAGGCTTGCTTGCTTACCAGAGAACTCCAAAATGAAAATAAGCAAAGAATCCCCACAAGACTGTCTGAAGTTCTGCAAAAATAGGAGCAAAAAAATCATTCTAAAGAAAATCCATGTAGAAACTAAGTAAAGTTTGCTATCTTGTACCACTGGCACCATAAACAAGATGGGTGGAAGATGCATTTTATTGGTCCAGTGGACAACAGAAATAGCCTGAGGTGTCTGACACAGCTGTAACAGACAGACAAGAACAGCAGGAAACTAAAGGTAATTTGCCATAGAGACTGGCAGGAACTAACAATTTCCATTCCTAAGGAAATGCTTATACAGCTTATCCACTCCACCACAGCACCATGTATATACACAGCTTCTGGACTGAAGGTAGCTTGCACCCAGACTGAAGTATGCACACAAATGCAGGCAAAATCTGAGCAATCAAAATGTGTACCCGAACAGATCTGCAGAGAACACTTCTTGATCACCATGCATGCATGTGCAGGTGCTTGCAAAAACAGCTTTTTAAAACCTACTAAGTTCACCCTCTCCTGTAGGGATCTCAGATGCTATGACTCACCTGCACAGACAACGTATGTACCATATATTAGATGGGCTAACTCCAGCAGCAATTTATGAAATCACTAGCCATAAATAGAAATATCACATGCCACAAAAGCAAACTCAATTCTTTCAGTAAAATAAAGTGATATAAGTAATGACATTTTTAAAATCAGTTACCTAGATACTTCCAGTTAAGCATTAAAGGTACCTTCAGCATCTTCCCGAATGGAGAAGTCTAAGGCCCAAACAGAGAAAGCAGAAGAGAAAACTGTATAAAAGAAAGCTGGGGGACACTGAACTAGCAACATCAGTGCAGACACAGAATGTTTTAGCTAAATACTGTTAGAGATCAGTCCTTGGCCGTACAGAGGGTTAGAATGTGAGAGGGCAATCTTTTATTTATATATGAAATACAAAAATCTAAGCTAAGATTATTCAGACAAATTGGAAAAAGTCATTGTAATTGTTAGGTCTTTGATTCTGAGAAGCCTAGATGAAGGTTTTGAGGGCAAAGTTTCTATGCTACTAGCTGACTAGCTGTATAAGAGGGTTTAAGACTTATATGCAAGAAGGTTTTTGATATATAGACCACGTAACACACCATTTCCATTCCAAATATGGTACTAACCATAAATATTGTATGCTAGGATAATGTGATAACATTTTGACAATATTGGAACTTAACAGCTTTCACTGACTATTTTCGCATGTTTAAATGGTAAGGTTAAGCAGCCACTCTAAAAAATATAAAAAGGCTTTTCTGAACGAAATGCCACGCTTAGCATTTTGCCTCATGACAAACTTATGGCACAAGTACCAAGTCATAAGCTATGAAGCAGCAGACAAAGGGGGAATTTAAGCATTTTTGTATATTGGACAGAGATTCCTGACAGTGATGCTTCATTGTTAATAGCTAGTTTTGTTGTGTACAATGTTTTTATTCACCTGTCTTTGAACAGTCTTATATTTCACCCATTCTGTCAAGGCCTTCACACACTTATTAGACAGAACTAGAATGAAACGTGAGCTCATATTTTAATTCAAAGAGCAAAGAAAGCTTAAGTCATTTCTTACTCCCTGCTCCTTCAAAAAAATACATAGTTAGTACACACAAAGGAAACCAAAAAG